GTTCCTCCGATCGCAACCGTGCACGAAGAGCAGTTCGTCAGGCGAGTCACGCGAATTCAGTGACTCTCTGGTTAAGAGCTTTCAGTTAAATAATCGAGTGATTCGCTCATTCAGAGTTCTCCGCGTTCTCGGAAGCGGAGAGTGAATCTGACGCGTGCAGAGATAATTTCGATCTGAGCGAGCGTAGTAGCTCGCTACATGAAAGTCAGAATCCGCTCCAAGCTCGGGTGAAAATAATCACTCGCTATCGCTCCGAGTTATTTCTCATCTCGAGACACTTAACGCGCGTCGTGCAGCATTTTGCCGATTCACGTATCGCTGTGTACAAAACGTCGCCTCATATTTAACAAATTAAATATCTAGCCGACAGCAGGGCAGCCAATGAGAGAGACGCGAATATCGCAGACTGCACCTATCCCCCCTCCTCCCCGCAAATGTGTCGACTGCAAGTCGAACCGAGCGCCGAAATAATGGAGGACAATCCCCCGCTCGCGGGGAAAATTCGCGAGAGCGAAAAATTTCTCGCCAGCTGCGCTGTCGATGATGCGCCGCCAATGAGCCTCCGCCGGACTTTTCCCCGCGAGTGATCGCGCCGCGCAAATCCTCGGCGCTCCGAGGATCTCGAGAGAAGAAGCAACGGAGAAAGCAAGTCGCGCGCGCGATCGATCGATCGATCGATCGATCCGATCCGATCCGATCCGTCCCGTCCGTCCATCCGTCGCCGATCGGCCGGCCGATGGATCGCTCGTCGCGATCGCGTAGCCGCGCGCCGCCGGTTTGCACCGCCGCGACCAATCAAACGGGACATTAACCACAGTGCTCGGAAGGATCGCGCACTGGTTTGCATGCGCCGGGAAAGGAAGCGATCGCGCGGACGATCTAAGCCGGCCGGCTACTCCGACAGCTGCCGGGACGCGTATGCGTGCGTGTGTGCGCGAGTGCGTGAGTGAGTGCGCGTCACTCGCGCGCAGGCCGCACAATGCCTGGACGCGAAGCGGAATTGCGTTCGGATCCGCAATGCCTCGCAGCGATACCTCCAATTAAAGCGCCGGCCGACCTCGCCCCCGCGCGCTGCTCCTCCTCGCTCCTCGTCTCGTCGGAGATCTCCGACGTGCCTTGCGAGAACTCTCTTACGGTACGGCACGCCGCGCCGCGGCCGATTCGATCCAATAACGCGTGTACTTAGCGTAACCGCCATTATTAACGGATCGTCGGAAAAATTACACGGTACCGCGCGCGGCGGCCGCGAGATACCCGAGAGGATAGATAGATTCGACGCGCACGGCGAAGATCGTAATCTCGCAATATCGCCGATGCACCGCGGCGAGACCGATGCGCGTTTACGAGACGACACGTAAACTACCGCATATACCGGCGCGACGCACGCACGCACGCACGCACGCACGCACGCACGCACGCACGCACACGCACGCACGACGTGTGCGGAGTACCGGATCGTGGTGTGCGGTTAATTTACAGCTAGTTCTAGAGCTTGTATTCTCCTCCCGGCCCCGGATCCCTCGCTCGCGCTGTGACGTCGTTGTCAATACGCCCTCGATCGTAATCCCGGAAACGCTCCAGTTTCCCCGCGCGGTCGTGAGCTCAAATCAATGCAATCTTCCGCGCGACCGACTTCGCCCTGACCTCTCGCGAGGGGAACGTGCTCGGGGATAATCGCGATATCGTGGCGCTCTTGAAAGGACAATACAGCAGGGGGGATGGCGGGGAGGGGGGTCGTCGCTTAGCGCTGCTCCGGCTGATGGATCGCGTCGCTGGAGAGATCGATTGAAAAAGCAGACGCGCTACCTCGTCTCAGCGAGGCCGCCTCCCGTCCGCCCGTCACGTGTACTTATTGTTGTTATTATTGAATACAAAAACGCGTTGTTAAGCGTCGGAGCGGTCTCTCTTCTCATTTACGTCCTTAGCGCTCTGCGACGAGGAGTAAGTAATTAAAAACGGAAGGAGACGCGTTTCGGTAATTGCGCTGATTTGCCGAGGAAGGTGGATTTGTCGCGGGCAGAGAGAGAGAGAGAGAGAGAGAGAGAACGAGAATGGAAAGAAGAAAAGAAATGACTCGTCACGCGCCGTATCCTCTTCCGGACACGGAGCGGTGTCGTCTCGTCTCGTCTCGTCTCGTACAGACGCCGATCGATAATCTCGTTTAATTGAGCCGTTAAGACCCGCGGAGATATATCTTAATCTCGGCTTTACGAGCGTCCGTCGCGCGGTGTGCGCTAATTTTTCGACTCGGCCGCCCGCCTGACTGGCGGTGATGATGGAAGCGCCTAATGCGGAAGCTTTTTCACGGCTGACTCGACAGGAATGTCGTCCCTCGCTTTACGATCCTCCGTCGCAGCGGTAAACATCGCGGCGAATATTCAAGTTCTGTTGGTCGCGCGCGAGCTCCAATTTCTTACGGTGCAGCGGTAACCGACGCCCACGGAACCGTTCGCGTCGACATCTAAATCCTTTAATGAGGCGCGGGGAAGAGAGAGGGGGAGGGAGAGAGAGAGAGAGAGAGAGAGAGAGAGAGACAGGATGCACGGGCAGGATTTCCCGGTGCACACGGCAATCCGAAATTTACGAGCATCACCGTCGCAGCCGTAAGAACAGCGCTCTCGCGTGAGCGGCCGCGCGCGGCACCGAATCAACATCGACTTTTCTCACCGCCGCCACGCCTGCCTCATTACCCATCCGCGGGGTAATGAATGACCGAGCCGAGCAATCATTAAGCGCGGCTCAACGTGTGTGTCATTGTGGGTTTAACTGCTGGTTAATTGGCCCCGCGTGCACAATCGGTGTGCACGGGAGGACTCGCGTATCAGCGAGTCCGCACGCTCGTGTGTGTCGCCGGAGAGGATCGACTCGCACCTCGTGGAGAGGCTGCGTTATTGTTACCGTTACAGCGGGGACGGGTCGCAATGATGAGAGAGGGAGAGAAGCATCGTCGCGCGTTATTAACAGGCTCGAGTGGCCCTTTATTGGCCGCGGATGTCGCGGGGAATCAAACTTTTGCCCCGCGACTGGAAACTCGGTCGCGACGCCGACGGCGCCGATCGAGTTACGGTGGATAATTAGAGCCGGAGCGGCGGCAGAGAAATGACCTTGGGACGGTGGTCCGCT